GGCTCTTGTCACAAACTCCCTAGCCCAGCACCCTGTGTCATCATTTATGTCTGTGCAAAGTGGTAGATAAATGTGTGGCCCAATTAATCTTCTCCCCTCGCTCAGCAGGGTGGCAGCATTTCCCAGCCCTGGGTGCACATAATGCCCCACGCTGCAAGGCAGGGGAGCCTCCAGCCCTTGGGTCTTTGGGGCAAACCCCAGCACCTCGGTGCCTCAGTTTCCCTGTCTGTAAACCAAGGATTCCCATCCCTCCTCCCAGGTGGAGCAGGAAGTCTGCTCTTGAAGAGTATTACAGACACTTTCACTCTATGCATCCAAAGAAGTGAGGTTTTTACTCACGAAAGCTTATGCCCAAATAAATCTGTTAGTCTTTAAGGTGCCACCAGACTCCTTGTTGTTTTTGTAGATACAGACTAACACGGCTACCCCCTGATACATTACAGACACTGCTTGCTTTGTCCCACCTCTCTCCATAAGAGGGAGCAACCACACAAGAAAACAGCCACAAGCCGGGCTCCAGAGGCGGTGGGGCAGCCCCAGGAATCACTGGGGAGAAGGGCAGATTAGGAAACTGTACTGGTCCCATCCCGGCCGGCTTCAAATCTGACTGTGCAGTTCACACGGTAGCCGGGGACTCTGTTGGCCACAAGGGAACCATATTGGTTGATACCAGCGGGGGACCTGGCCTCTGACCTGTAAGGAAAGTTGGGGATACAGAAATCCTCCCTACCTCTGTCGGGTAGGATGGCCCTGGCTGGGTCTGTTCACTTCAAGGGTGCTGGTTTGAATCCAGACTGTAATTATTCCTGCTGCGTGGCTCAGTTCAGTTCCCATCTCATCCCTGGACACCACAAGCTTGCGGGGGCTGGAGTCCCCCCCATGGCTCATCCAGCCCTCACCCGCTCTGCTCAGGGGAGGCAGGGTTTTGTGAAGGCACGTGACATGCACACATGGGGGTTGGGAGTGCCATGTGATGGGTTGGGCTGGGACACTAGGAGCCAGTTTCAAGGGAGACCTGGCTACTTTGGTCTGACACCCAAGGGCCCAGGAAGGAATGCAAGCTGGGCCATGTGGCTACCAGACAAACAGGCACTGGCCTCCGTGCACACTTAGCAAAGATCTCTTTCCTACAACCTGGCTTGCTGCGGGTGTAACCGGGGGCTGCTGGTTCAAATCCTGACTCACCAGGTGTTGCTTAGTCCCCGGTGCTAAAGTCACTGCTCAGTCCAAACCCAGAGCGGATTTGGGTGAGGTGCTTCCTGAGCTATTACGAATCGTCAGATGCTGAAATTATGAAGCAAGCACAGTCATCACTTCAATTGGGTCAAACAGCACAGACCAGGCGGGACCGGCCGCGTGTTCCTGCCTGGGAGACAGTGGCCTACGTCCAGGCCATGACCGGAGGCCCCTACGTGCTACAGGGGACCAGCCGAGCGATCCAGATAGGCAGTTATCCCAGGTCCTGGCCGCAACGTAGCAGAGAAGGTTCCATCCAGCGCCCTCCCCTCGGCCCCAGCCACCAGCCTCCATCGCCCGCCTGTCAAAAGTTCAAACAAGCCCCTTGGTGCTTCCGCCGGTGCTGCCCCGCGCGCTCGGGAGAAGCTCCCCGTAAACCTCTGCAAAGCAGCTCCCTTCGCGTCCCTCCTGAAAACTCTCCTTTGCCCAGAAAAGCCTTGACAGAGGCTAGGTGGCCGGTGGGCTGAGAGCTCTGCCCGCGGTGCTGGCCAGCATCGTCTCATTGTTCCCTCGTGCCTGCCGGGATCCAGCTGCCATCTCTCGTCTAATACTCAGAGCGGCCTTTTGTCCTGGGTGTGTACAGCAGCACCGGGCGCCATGGGCTCCTAGGCCCGACTGTAACGCACCGAACGAAGCCCGAGAGAGCAGCCAGTGGAACGGCCGGCCCCGAACCGGGATCAGGCCCGCATTGTGCCACACACAGAGTAACTAGCCCAGACAGACGAAGGGGGGGGGAGAAAGGAAGGGTGATTCCCTTTCCTACAGATGGGGAAACTGAGGCGCAGGGAGATGCGGTGTCAGGGGCAGAGGCAGGCATTGAACCAGATTGGCCGAGTCCTCGCCCAGCGCCTTCCCCATACGGCCCCCACTGTACAGGAACAGCTGCCGGGGGACCGTGGCAGCCCAGCATCCATCTAGCCAGGCCGGCCATGCAATGACTGGCTGGGGGCTGGGGCAGTCCCGCCCCCGGCTGCATTAGCTCCGGCTCGGGGGGGGGTTTCGGGGGGGATTGCTCTGCTCCTGGCCGCAGCACGTCTCGCCCCCCCACCCCCAGGCCGATGGAGCCCGGCCCAGAGGTGGGCAGGCTGGAGGGAGGGCGAGGCTCCACCCCTGGGAAGGAAGGCTGGTGTCTCCTCCCCACGGCCCGGGCTGTGCGCGCTGCTGCCGGGGCCGGGGCGAAGGGCCGGGGGACCCAGCCGGAGGGAGCGTGGGAACCGCTGCAGGTAGGCGGGGAGCAGGGGGGCCGGGCGCTGCCCGCTGGGGGGCCGAGGCAGCAGGACCTTGGCAGAGAGGGGCATTGTGGGTAAGGCCCAAAGGATTAGTCGGGGGGGGGGCTCCGGGGTGGAAAACCCTCCAGGAGCTGAGTCGCTGGTGCCCTGCACCTTGTGCCGCCAGTTACGCCCGTGCAAAGAGGGGCTCAGCACTGCCAGGCGCCCAGGGAGATGTGGGGCAGCCCACCCAGAGCAGGAGCCTGGCGCGATGCCCGCTCCGGCTGCCTCTCCATGGCACAGCTCGGGCATCGAAACCCTGGAGTTATTGCTCCTCCGGGGACCGCGCAGCCGGAATCACTAGGATGCGGGATGGGGGGACAGGCGAACCCCGAGGGACGGCTGACCTGTCAGAGACACCTAGCCTGGCGCCTGTCAGATAGACCAACGCCAGGACTGGACGCCGCTCTCCTGCCCTGGATAAACAATGAATCAGAGCTGCACCCATGCCTTTTGCCAGCCTCAGCTTCTCTCCTGGGTCTGAGAGGCCGTGGGAGGGGGGCGTGGGGATGAAGTGTCTCGAGTTTGGGGCAGGGGCTGGCTGAATGGAGCGGGGGAAGTGGGGATGGAGAGAAGCCAGGGAAGGAGAACTCGTAAAGAGAACAAAAAGGAGTAAGCGAGAAAGCAGGGGATGCACTGAGAGGAGCAGCGGCCACAAACCTGGCGAGGCGGAGGGCAGCGCGACAGCACCGGGGCAAGGAGACGGGGTCGTTCCCACGGGGTTAGGGACTCGCTGCAGCGAGGGGATTCCATGGTTGGCTACGACAGGGAGCAGTGTTGGGATTTCTTAGGGGAGTGCCTGGGGGCCTGCTGAACAAATGATCCCTGCCCCCAACTGCTGCCAAGCATTAGACACAGGTTAGCCTACGGAGACCGACCGCCCCACAGGGGAAACCGGGAGACTGTCCCCCTCGCCACGAGGGCCAGGGGTCTCAGCCCACCAGCTGCCTAACCGCTGGGACGTCTGTTGGAGGCGTCCCGGCAAAGGAGCGTTTCCCGGCGGGTGCAGGCCGAGGAGGGAGCTGGGCCGCTGTTTCTGGGACCGCCTCCCCAGCACGAGGGGCAGCAGCAGAGAAAGCACACAGGGGCATTTGCACATTTAACAAGTGGGTGAGGGAGGCTGGGGGCCTGGGCTGAGGGGAGCTAGGAGTCGGCATCTCACGTGTGAGGAGAGGTAGGGTGGGGATAGGCCATGGAGGGCCCTGAAAGCAAAGACCCGCCAAGGGAGGTTGATGTAGTCAAAGCCACAGGCTGGACAATCTCTTTGCAGCCGCCCTCTGAATGGGCAAGTGTGGGGGAGATTGCACGGGTCAAGGCCAGAGAGAAGGAGCTTGTGGCAATCCAGCCTGGATGAGGCGGGCCTGGCTGCGAGGTTTAGCTTTTCGGATGGAGCGGAGAGGCCAGATCTTGGAGATGTTCTGCAGAAAGAGTTGGCAAGATTTCGACCTAGCCTGGATGTGAGGACCTAGAGAGAGGCCCAAATCAAAGGCGACGCCAGGTTAGGAGCCGGAGTGACAGGCAGCATGGTGGTGTTGTCCACCGCGATCAAGAACGGGGGTAGCCAGGAGGACTTGGGCGGGGAAGATGAAGAGCTGTTTTAGCCATGCGGAGCTTGATCTGACAGCTGGACCTCCACGAGGAGAGGTCACAGAGACAGGCTGAGATTTCAGTTTGGACAGAAGGTGAGAAGTAGGTCAACGAGAGGGTAGCTGAACTGATGTGTGTAGATGAAATGCCCCAGAGATAAGGTGTAAGGAGAGAAGCACAGGGACCCAGGACAGAGCTCTGTGGAAACCCCACAGGATCCTTTGAAGGAGCAATTCAAGAGGCAGGAGGGGAACCAGAGGGGACAGAGGCTCTGGAAATCTTGTCCTCCCTTGGCTTCAGAAGAGCAGGGCTGATGGTGCGAGAGGCAAGGACGACAAGGAGGGAGCACTGAGTCTGAGCTGGGCTCATTAGAAACTTTGCATGGAGGCAGGGAATGTCCTTCCTGACCTCTGCAGGCGAGCGGTCACAGCCTGAACGTGCTGACTGACCCCTCCTGCAGTGAAACTTCCTTCTTTCTGCCCAAGACACATGACAGCCTCCCCGTGCCTGGTGTCTCCAGCCTTGTGACCCAACATTTGCCCTTGTGAAATCCGTCCTGGTGTCCCCATCCCCCACCCCAGCAAGGAGGCCTGGGGCAGGGAGGGCGATGCCCGGGAGGGAATTCAGCACCGTGCGATCCATGGCGCAGCGACTGCGTCCTCAGTGGAACCAGGGAGATGGGGGAGGCGCTCAGCCGACATGTACTGCACCCCCTCCGGTTGGGCCAGAAACGCACTATGCGCTCCCCCAGGGCAGCTGTCCCCCATTTCTCCCCCCTCCCCAGCTACCAAAGAGCGCGCTGGGCTCAGTCCTGGCTCACAGAGCAGCCACAGAAACGCCAGCCCAGGGCAGAGTGCAGAATGAGGATGTGGAAGGTAGAAAGAAACCAGCTGTGGTTTTAGATCCCAGGTGGAGTTTGCAGTGCCAGCGGTTAGCGCACGCCGCCTCTCGCTGGTGAGCGGATCACGTTTGCCCTGGAATCACAGAGAGAATTAATGTGGCAGTCACAGGGTTACTTATAGCCAGTCACCTTCTAGAGTATAATTTAGCGGGACCCGATTCTGATCTCACCTCCGCTTGCTTAAAATGAGGCGTACCTCCAGTGAAATCATGTTCTGCTCCCATCTGGCCTTTTCCAGGTTTGCTGGTTCGTTCTCCTGCTGCATCACTCAACACTGGGCCTACGAGGTTCTGGAAAAATGAAGCTCTCTGTAACCCCCAAGAAGGTATGCCTTAGAAACGGACACAAACTCTCCATCTCCTTCTTCGATCCTACCATTGGCTGCTCTAGTGAAGGTCCCGGGTCTGTGTGGGCTCCGGGGAAGAATGTCCCAGGGTCTCATTCTCCTGGTCTTTGTATACATGCTTGATGTTTGTAAGATGCTGAGCCCCAACGTACGTCTCTCGGGCTGTGGTTAACCGAGGAGCCTGACAGATGCACGAGGTGCTGCCGTGCCCTGGGAGTCTGCAGCAACATTAACTTGCTTCAGTGTTTTACTGCAGGGCCCGAGTAAACAGGAGTCTGTTGGTGCTCTGGCCAGAGGCAGCTCTGAGGAGTAGCCCGGGTCATGGAGTAGAAGCGTCTACATGGTCTGAATCTAGGTTGCTCTCAGCCCTCTGTAAAACAGGGACGTCCACATGCATTCAAAGGTGTGTAGTGCGTTCTCCAGCTAGGTGCAATGGCTGGGATGGAGGCGGCTGGGCCTGGGCCAGGGTCGGAGGGAAGAGGCAGGAGCAAGGCAGGGTCTGCTTTGCTGCTCGGGAACTTCTGGTTTACACGGCTAGAGTAGCTGAATTGGGCAGCCATAGGGTTCCGTCACTCTGGTCTCTTCGGCCAGGACGTCCTGCAGTGCCTCACCCTCACTTTGCTGAGCTCCCCAGAGGCAATGTGGTGCAGTAGTTACCCAGGTTCCCACAAGCCTGGGTTCTACATCCCCGCATCCTTACAACCAGGACCAGTGGCCAAATTCCCAGCATTGACATTTGAGCTGAGGAGAGAATTTTGTCAGATACCCTTAATGTGTGACAGTAAAATGCTAACTCAAAGCCCCAGAGGCCTTGCTCTGGGATCTTCCCTCACCTGAACCTGCACAAAGCCCCTGGGTTAGGTTCTCCCCTAGAACATGTAGGACACTAAAACCTAACAGTGGAAAAAACTGACAGAGGAAGCCAAAGGTTACAAGGCAAAATGGGAACGCGCTTTCTTCTTTTCAGCCACTGCCAGGCCAGGCTTGTGATTGCAATTAGTCCCCGAAGCAAATGGGCTGTTTCCATAGCAGTCATTGGTGCCTGGGGTCCTTTAAATCACAGAACTGGGTCTCTTTTCCCTTGGACCTAACACTGAATCTTCCATTTCCCCATCATTTTACACTCCACGTTCTGCTGGCAGTGAAATGAGCGAGAGCAGAGGGAGATTGGTGCAAATCGAACCACTGCTCTGGTTCGCTTTACAAGGAGTGCACCTAAGAGATGTATTGGGCAGTCTTTACACAGCAACTCGCCACTGGCCATCTGCACCAAAGTACAGACCTCTCCCGCTTGAGCTAAAGGAGTGGCTTCTTTAGCCAGCAGCAGCAGGAGGCTGTTGTCCTCTGTGGTCCAGCCACTTTACAAGCCTCAGGCAAAACCCCAGGAACACCAAGGACTGCAGGATACGGTCTAATAACGCATGGCAGCTTGGAAGGAGTTACGGCCCAGATGCACAGAAGTATTTAGGCTCCGAACGTCCATTGAACGCACTGAAAGCTAGGAACCCAACTACTTGTGTTCATCGGGGCCTGTCACCACCCCCTCCATGCTCCCACCGCACCAGGCGCATCCAGTCTGCCCCTGAGATGTCAACACTCCCAGTTGTTTCAGACACAGCATACAGCTGTCTTTTCCTGTCCCCTCACAGCTGAATGCTCTCGAGAGCCAGGAAGAGCTCCTGCTGCCTAGGCAGCCGAACCGGCTTTCCCAGAAGGTAAGTTGTCTCCAAGGGGCTGAGCTCAGCCAGAAAACCACGGAGTCAGCAGAGCCGAACGGCCCCACAAAGGAAGCGCTTGTTCTGCATTCCCCGGGTCATGCTGGGCTGGTTCTGCTTATGTTTGCATCACGCCCCTGGGGGTGATTGTAAGCGGCGTGAAGTTTACAGCTTGTGTTTGCTGAGAACTGCCAGAGCAGGGGACGCTTACAGCTCAGGTCCAGCACTGGCCCCAAGTCAACAGGCCCCGTTTGCCATTCACACCGGAGCGACTCTCTTGAGCCAGTCCCTCAGCTGGAGTAGATCAGCACAGTTCCACTGACTTCAGTGCAGCGATTGCCAGCTGAGAATCAGGCCCCCGGGGCTTCAGGGGACTTGCTCCCAATGTACAGCTGCGTAAGTGAGCACAGAACCTCACCCAGTAGGTTCTGTTGCACCTGTTTACGACCCGCTAGTAGGTGGCTTGTGGCAGTCAGACTTGGCTACACCTGGGCATGCAGGCGGAAGAACGAGCGGCTGGGATCAGAGGGCCTGATTCTTCTCTTGCTTGCACCAGGGTAAACCAGGAGTAACTTTATTAAAGACAGTAGAGATACACCAGTGTAAAACTGGTGTGAGACCAGAACTATGCTCTCTGGGTCTAACCATTGTCTTCTCCTTGTGCGGTCATTTACACCAGTGCAAACAGTGCAGAGGGGGTACAAAAGGTTGTCTGAGTCAGTAGCATTTCACACCCCTTTTGCACTAGTGTGAATGACTGCACGGGCGCAGGGCAGTGGCAAATCAGGCCCAGGCTTTGGCTTTTCAGCTGAATGTCTCAACCGCCTGCCCGTCTCCATTTTGTTCTCTCTTTCCGCCTCCAGTACCCGCGCCGTGCCCTGCTGGCTGTGATCCTGGTGGGCGTGCTCTTGGCCGGGGTTCTCACTCATCTCCTAGTTTTTCCGTTCGGTTCCCCTTTGGGAAGAGAGAAAGTGGGGCAGGATCCAGACAACACGTGCAGTGACCCTTGCAGGTGAGTGACTCTTCTGAGCATGGGTTTTTTAATGATTGCACGGCCGGGCGTCTCGGCCTTTGCTCACTAGCAATCCCCAGCCATCTGCTCGGTTTCTCCCACGGCGTGCTCTGCCAGAGTACGGGGCAGCCTACCCCAGGATCCTTTGCAGCCAAGTATTAATGCTCTCAGAGCAGGCCCAGTTCACTGCTGTCCTGTACCTTGGGCAGTCATGTACACACCAGTGCAACATGCCATCCTTGGGCCCCACCCCACTGTGCCCGGCTGTAAGTGACGGCCGGAGGCTGTGATGAGCTGGGCCCGACGTGGGCCAGCTCAGAGGTGATCAGCGTTGTCGTCCCTGGTAGGATTGTGCTGGTGGAAAGCATCCCCGAGGGAATGGTGTACGAAGCCAACAGCACGGTGAACCCGTCCACTTTTCAGGCCTGGAAGAACCTGATCGGAGGTGCTAAGAGCAGCTTGGACATCTCCTCTTTCTATTGGACCCTGACAAACGATGACACGCACACTCAGGAAGCCACGGCTGACCAAGTAAATAGCAAAAGCTTAATTAGGGGCTGGATCCTGCCAGGGCCTGATCCCGCCTCGGGCTCCAGCCTGGGAGTCGACCTGCTAAAGTCAGTGGAACTGCTCCCCTGCTCAGCGTGGGCTCACAGGCTTTGCTGGACGGGGCCAGAACGCCCCTCAGCCTGCAGGCTGGCGCTCCCAGGGCTGGCGCCAACGGGACTCCCTTGTAGTGTAATTTACCGGAATACGCTGTACTGATCTAACCCCATCACTTCCAAACCCGCGTGTAGAAAAGTGCCGAGACTCCTCTTGGTACCCCTGGAGTCATTCATTCACTCTGACACCCCTGTGTCCCTCAGCGAGGGCAGAAAACCGCAGTCGAATCAGCTGAATCCACCCCAAATTAGCGTCTAATTACCAAGCTAGTAACGGGTTCCTCTTCCCAGGCCATCAAGGAAGCCAGTTAGGGAAGGCTGTTGAGTGGAACATTGATTTGCCGGCGCTCGAGCCTCCTTTTGCAAAGCCTCTTTCATGGCTTTGGTTAGATCAGAGCGGGTCATGCTGGCTCAGATCCTGGCAGAGAAAAGAGACAGGGCCGGACTGGAAGGAGATGCAGTGAGTCCGCCCCGTGAGCTGGGAAGGCAAGCCCAATGCCCAGCCCCTGCCCCATGCAGAGAGACCAGCACGAGTCAGGGGTGAATTTCCCCTAGTCAGTGTGATGCCCATGGGGCTGCGTGTATCGGCACGTGGCCGGATGAATCATGCCCACTTTGAGCTGGTGAGGAGGCAGAGAGCCCCTCCTCTGGACTGACTGGTGTTTGTAACTCCTCTTTTAAAAACAGGGTGAAGAAATCCTGGCAGAACTGCTGCAGTTACCCCAGCGAGGCATCGCGGTGAGAATCGCAGTCAGCAGCCCGTCCTCGAAGCAGCCCCCGGATGACCTGCAAGCGCTGGAGCAGAGCGGTGAGATTCCTGAGTGTCGGGGGCCCAACCTGAGACCCCCTGACGGGGCCGGATTTCCAGAAAGAGCCGAGCACCCACCCTCTGAAAATCAGCCCCTTCATGGTGCTACACTTTGGGGACCCAAAATTCACTAGGCACTTTTGAATATCTTGGCTGTTCTCACACCAAAGCAGCCTGCTTAGCCCCATCAGTGTAAGGGACTGGGACACAGGCGGTCTGGCCTAGTGGTTACAGCTGGGCTGAGGTCTGCCCACCAGGGACAGGAGTCGCAGGACTCACAAGGCTGGATCCCATAAACAAGAGTCAGGCCGGGGTCGAAGACCAGAGATCAGGGGACGAGGGGAAGTCTGGCACTGCAGCAGGCCATGGCCCATGTGGTTGCCCAGACAAGTTCCTGGGCCAGCCCCTGGGATTAAGTAGGGGCACATGGCCAATGAGAGGGCCGCAGGGTACTGTCACTCGGGGTCTCTTGGGCGGTACTTCCTGTGGCACTACTTCCTGTGGCACTGGAGACCCAGGTCCTAGTCCCCGAGTCCTTACAATCGGGGTTCAGGAGCAGCCCTCTGATAACGAACCATTGGGCACCGCCTGGCCGTGTCACAAGAGGCTCTGCAGAAGACACCCGGGGAATCCGTAAACAGCTCCCCAGGGCCCCCTCTGGCCGGTTTGGTGCCTGTGCGGCTCTCTGAAGGGACCGTTCCTATTCCGGGACCTGGCCGTGAAAGAGCTCCATGTCCTTTACAAACCCTAGGGGCTGCTGTCCGCAAAGTCAACATGCGCAGGCTGACTGGCGGGGTGCTGCACACCAAGTTCTGGATCGTTGACAAGACCCACGTCTATCTCGGCAGCGCTAACATGGACTGGCGTTCCCTCACCCAGGTAAACACCTCCTAGGGGCAAGAGGGTCTTTGCCCGAGCTGGGGTGCCACATATGCTTGTGCCTTTGATGGGCTGTTCTCCATCTGGGGTCGTCAGAAGAAGCCCTGCTTGAGTGGACAGGCGCTGGGCAGGCTCTGAGCTAGGACTGAGGTGGGACCAGTCTGGGATGTAGGGAAAGCTGAGGGAGCGTCGCTTAGTGCTGAGAGTAGGAACTGGTCACCAGGAACTGGTCCCAGCTCTGCTACTGACTTGGGGCCCTGTCTGGCAATGAGCGGCGCGGAGCCTGACCCCATACAGACCCCATTGAGGTCAATGGCCAGGGGAGGAGCCAGCCACATGGGCCTCGCTGTGGAACTGGGGTGTTGGTCTCTAACATCTAGGATTCTTCATGCCCAAGCCTGCAAGGGCTGGGAATCCTGGGGGCTGCCGAAGACCCATCCTCAGGAAAATCAAAGCATCTCTGTAGCAAAGTGCCCAGGGCTGAAGGTCAGACCTGCTGCGTATGGCCCCTCGGAGAGAGGCCGTGTAGCCTGATGGAAATGTTATTTCCACGCTTGGGGCCAGGAGCAGTTTGGACTAGCTCCAGCCCCACTTTGATTGGCTGTTCTTCATCTGGGGCTGTCAGAATGAGCCCAGCAGAGACACTGGCAAGGCCAGCGCTGTCGCTCTGATTCTTTGGGGGCGCTCAGGTACTGTGGTGCCAATGAGAACCTAGAGAGATTAGCTAGAGAGGAAGGGGGGGGGAAGGAGTCCCCAGAGGCTCTTAAACCTTCAGCCAAAGAAATCCGCGGCTTACACAACCACGGCGCTGGGAATTCCTCACGCCAGCCGGCTGCACGTGACGGGGAGTTCTGGGTTGCTTGTCCCGCAGGTGAAGGAGCTGGGCGCGGCTGTCTACAACTGCAGCTGCTTGGCCAAGGACTTAGGGAAGATGTTTGAAGCCTACTGGGTTCTGGGGGTGCCGGACGCCTCCATTCCATCGCCCTGGCCGGCCAATTACTCCACCACGTACAACAAGGAGACGCCTCTGGAGGTGCAGCTGAACGGGACAGATGCCAGTGTGTATCTTTCTGTAAGTCGAGGCACCTCAAGGTAACCCTCTTCTGCCCCTTCTTATTGGTTTCATGTAGGAGTTGCCGTAACCAAACAGACCCTTGTTCTGGTCAGTCACCTCGCCTCCTACAGTGGCCAATACCTGCTGCTTCAAAGTGAGTTCAAGCCCCACGGGGTGCACCTGACCAGTCAGGCAGTGTTGCACATGGAAGGAAAATTTCCTTCCCGACCGTGCAGCCGTCAGCTTGACCCCTCTCTGTGCTGTGCCCAGAGCTCCCCGCCAGCCTTGTGTGCCGAGGGACGGACAGAGGACCTCCATGCGCTGCTCGGCGTCATCGACGACGCCAGCCAGTTCGTGCACATCGCTGTGATGAGCTACCTGCCGACCATGGAGTTCTCGCACCCCAGGAGGTAAAGCCTCAGCAGCCCTTTGCGAATAGCTCTCAGGCCGAGCACGCGCTGGGCACACGGCGGTGCGGAGTTCGCAGCGCAGTGCGTGCCAGTGGGCATGAGCTGTGTCCGAGTTGAATTCAGTAACAAAGGCAGGGGGGGTGTAATCCTCGTCCTTTAAGGCTTCACCCGCCTCCACTGCCCATCTCTCAGCCTTTGTTTCCTCCTGGGCCTCATGTGCGACTCAGACTTCTCCCTTGAACACTCCTGTGTCTGCTGCTGATCCACTCCATGCCTTTGTCACGCCAGGCCCTCTGTTGGGAACCGCTAGGATTGCGCAGAGTAAAACCCACGGGCCCCGTTTTCAAAAGGGGCCTGTGATTTTAGCAGCCCAAATTGAGATGCCCTAAGGGACACGATCTTCATCGGCTGTCCCTTCTTTCAGGCGCTGCACATGGGGCATCCTAAAATTGCTGGTCCATTCTGAAGATTCAGGCCTTGAAAATGTTACTTGACAAGGACCCCAGGCAGCCACCACTGTAGCTAGTAACTCAGAGAGGCACCAGGGCAAACCTTGTTTGTTTCCCCAGGTATTGGCCAGCTATTGACAATCATCTCAGGAAAGCAGCCTACGAAAGGCAAGTCCACGTTCGACTGCTGATTGGCTGCTGGGAGCACTCCAAGCCAGCCATGTTTCCTTTCCTGAAATCTCTGGCTGCCATGAAGGACAATAGGACGCACTACAGCGTGGAAGTGGTGAGTAATGCTCCGAGCTCGGCACAGCAGCCGGGGTCTGGAATCCTGCAGTTCGGCTCTTGCCTCTAAGACCTTGGCTACACTTACCCGTTATTCACGTAGCTGAAGTTGCGTACCTTAGTTCGAATTAGGGGGTTAGTGTAGACCTGGCCTTACACTCATTCCCCTTCTTGTGGCTTTTGGCAAGTCCCTAAAGCCCTGATCCAGCAAAGCACTGAAGCCCACGGTTAAAGCGAAGCACGCGTAGTCCTGACCTCCATTGAGACAGCTCCTCTCTGGACTGGTTTCCTCATCCATCGAATGCCGGAAAGATTTCTCCAGGGTTGTAGTTGTGGTAGGAGACCAGCTGGATCCAAAGGGCCTCGCTGAGACTAAAGGGACCATTGTCCCTCATTCCCCGTGAAATCAACCCAGCCATGTCCAACTAGGAACCCCGCCGATCACGCAGTGCCCCCTCTGAGCAGGGCTCTGTGGGGAAATCGGGGGGCGCGTGTCCTGGAATCAGCTGCGAGGGGAGCACAGCCGAGCCCACGGCCAGTGCTGTGGCTGGGAGTCGGTTTGGGTAGATCTGCACAGTCTGTTCCGCAGCAGCAGGAGTCTCGGGTGAGCTGCCCCGTAGGCCCGTGCTGTTGCTGAGACTGGCTAGAGCCGATTCTAAGGGTTGATTGGCTGCTGTTGCCCTGCGCGTTGTGCCGCCATGGACACCGGTACAAAGAGCAGGCAAGGTGGGTGCATTTTACACTCCTCCCGCAGTGGTGGCAGTGACTGCACATGGTGCAGGGGCCAGAGAATCAGGACCTAGAGCTTTGTCCACCTAGGCCTGGTCTCCACCCCGCAGGCGTTGGGTTCAGCCCGGCTCTTTCACGGCCGGTGTTTGCGGTGCAGTGATGCGGTAGGACACTCATTCCGTGGGGTCTCTGTTTTCCTCCCTTCCATTTGAAGAGGCTCTTCACCGTTCCAGCCAATGAAACACAAGCCGAGATCCCCTACGCGAGAGTCAACCACAACAAGTACATGGTCACCGACAAGGTGGCCTATATCGGTGAGTAGAGCCCGCTGCCGACCCCTCCCTACCGCCACTATTAAACACGTCCTGTCTCCTTCCTCCTTGTCGCACTGACAAACCCTCTCCCCGCACACTGGATAACATCGTTCAGGATTACGTACTAAATAACCCAGAGCCGGGGAGAGCGCGGGAGCTCTAGGCGAGCAAAGGCTGTGCTGTGTCCAGGCAAGATTTGACGAGGCGGCGTGGCACAGACTCCGACTGCCAGCACAGGAGACCGCCCCTGCATGGACAGTGGCGGGAGGAAAGTGACACTAGCTGGCCCCGGGGAACGAGGAGGGGGGCAGAGCGAGAGGCACGCCAGTGGTACGATTCTCAGCTACTCCGCTCCTGCGTGCAGGGAGAGACCCTTACAATGGTGTCAGTTGCAGGGGCGTAAGTCTGCTCTAATTTACTTTCTGCTTCTCATAGCCACAGGGGAGCAGAGACTAGCCGGGCGCTGGGCACTCCGGCCACACCCCTAGGCCAGGGGCTGAGACTGGCGAGGGCACACGCCTTACACCAGCCCCACCCAGCTGGGGCGGCACCCGCACAAAGGGGGCTGCTCAGGGGCCCTTCCCACTCGCTTTAAGGCTGTAGGGTCAGGACAGGGGGAGCAAGGCCGTGAAGTTTAACTATAAAGTGGGCAGCTTTGAACTCAAGCCTGAAACACACAGGGAACAAGCGAAGGGGCCTGCACATGGCCGGTCTGTGCTCCCCGTCAGTGCACATAGGAGAACAACAACTGCGCGCTGTGGTGCTGGACTCGGGGCGGGGAGGGCACGTTCCTAGCTAGGACAAGAGGAGAGGAATTGCAAACTGAGGGCGTACCCAGGAAATGCTGGGGCAGGCAGCACACCCAGCATAGATTCTGCAGACATGCCTGGGTTGGTAGAACAGACGTGTCTGATATGGGAGAGCCCAGGGCTGCCAGCGTCATGATGGCGTTTGGGCCGGCAGGTGCGATAAGCTCTCTCCTCCTTCTCCCCGAAGGTACCTCCAACTGGTCAGGAGACTATTTTATCAGAACAGCAGGATCTGCGCTTGTGGTGAACCAGAGCGACGCAAATGCCCAGGGCGAGCTCACAGTGCGGGAACAACTCCAGGCCGTGTTTGAACGGGACTGGAACTCCAAATACAGCAGGGACATCAGCACCTTGGGCCAGTGGGAAGACATCTGCAGAGGTCACTAGGAGGCTACACTGCGGAGGACTGGCGGAAGGGAATCCTGGCATCACAGAACCACCTGGCTACAGCATGTCAAGGCAGCATGGCTACCCCAGCACTGCAAACATGGCAGGATTGACAGGTCCCTTCCAGAGCCTGAAATATCCAGTGTCACCTGGTTTCTTGCCAGCTCCTTTGGTTTATCTGCAATGGCGTTAGTCATTTTTTGAGCCCTGGTGTCTCTCGGGAACACAAGGACACCCCATCTTCACACACTCACAGCTGAGCCAGGCTGGGGAGAGTTCATCCTTTTCTCTATCACATCCCAGCTGCTGCTGTCCCTCTGTGCTGAACTGAGCGGGAATTTTCAGGTGTAGGCCCGTGGAATGGGCTTCCATAGCATCTGATATGTAATGGCCCAGATCCCCGTCAAAGGGTTTGTATACAGGGGAGGTGCTAGTAAAGTCTAATTTGTGTCTGTATTTTCAATCCATTCGGAAGGAAGATACAGTGAGTTACACAGGGGGAAGCTATACAAAGAGAACATATACACGGACACAGGATGGAATTCATCAACGGTCAGAGGGACGAGGCATGGCCAGGGATCCATTGATGTCCTACTGCAGCCCTATTTTAAATACTTATGTAGGAACTGAACTGATGCCTAGGTCTTGTGCTGCCCTTCTGCCCGGGGGTGAATTTCATTTACTCTCCATGAATTGATATGATCTTCTGAAAATTCACTGCAAGGCAGGGATCTGTAGCAGGGTCTCCCAAGGAACAAGGAAAGCATTAACTCAGTAGCTGAAAACTTGAGGGGGAGAACAGCAAATAGGTTTGAATAAAGTCACCAGTTATGGAGGTGCGGGTCACAACACTCAGGTAAAGGTTGAGTTCCATTTTGTACTCAAAGCAGGGATTCAGCCTCTTTATATTGTAAGAAAAATGTAGTGTTCCCTCCTCAAACGTACTGTATTTCCTCTCTAACCGCAGAAGGAATGAGAATTTCCATGTAAATCCAGTCATTAATTCACACATTAAAATTAATACACAACTGGTTCTTTAAAAAAAAAAAAGCCTCTGTGTCACTCTTTTCTTTGTCCCAAATGAGCTGAACAGAATGACGTAGCTATTTCAAACTTTCCATAAGCTTAACATTAATGGAACTCTGGGGCCGAGGCTTGATTGGAAGCAATAGGTTGTAATGAAGCAGAATGATTAAGTACACCTCTACCCTGATATAACACGACCCAATATAACACGAATTCGGATATAACACAGTAAGATCATGCTCCGGGGGGCGGGGCTGTGCACTCCGGCAGATCAAAGCAAGTTCAATAGAACTCAGTTTCACCTATAACGCGGTAAGATTTTTTGACTCCCGAGGACAGCGTTAGATCGAGGTAGAGGTGTATTGTGATTAGATAGGTTACAGAGAAGTTCAGGTAACTCTTAGTTGGGCCCATCGTGACATCGAGGTAACCCCACCTTTCCTGTCCAGCTAGTTTGCAGCCATGAGTCTATGGGACTTAGTGCTATTGGGGGGCTGGAGAAGTGCCAAGAACAACACAAGTTGGTCCAATAAAAACTAATATCTCACCCACCTTGTCTGTCTAATATCCTGGGACTGACCCGGCTACCACAACCCTGCATGCAGAGTTCTCACTGGCAGATTGGCCTAATGGTCACTGCTCTTTGAAGCTTCTGTAGCTGCCCTCGGGCTTTGGCCTCGGTGCTTGGAAAGGTCTGTTGCACACGGAGGCAGCAACAGAGACATATTGGACACAAAGATGTTGCAGTTCTCCCCAAACCCAGCATTATGAACCCTGGCAATTCACAGCTCAGGTTACACGTCACAGAAAGTATCAGTGGGGTAGCCGTGTTAGTCTGGATCTGTAAAAAGCAACAGAGTCCTGTGGCACCTTTAAGACTAACAGATGTATTGGAGCATAAGCTTTCGTGGGTGAATGGCCACTTTGGATGCATGTAATGGAAATTTCCAGGAGCAGGTATAAATATGTTGGCAAGAATCAGTCTGGACATAATGAGATTAGTTCAGTCAGGGAGGGTGAGGTGCTCTGCTAGCAGTTGAGGTGTGAACACCAAGGGAGGAGAAACTACTTCTGTAGTTGGATAGCCATTCACAGTCTTTGTTTAATCCTGATCTGATGGTGTCAAATTTGCAAATGAACTGAAGCTCAGCAGTTTCTCTTTGGAGTCTGGTCCTGAAGTTTTCTTTTGCTGTAAGATGGATACCTTTACATCTGCTATTGTGTGGCATGGGAGGTTGAAGTGTTCTCCTACAGGTTTCTGTATGTGGCCATTCCGAATATCTGACTTGTGTCCATTTATCCTTTTACGTAGTGACTGTCCAGTTTGGCCAATGTACATAGCAGAGAGGCATTGCTGGCACATGATGGCATATATAACATTGGTGGATGTGCAGGTGAATGAACCAGTGATGTTGTAGCTGATCTGGTTAGGTCCTGTGATTGTGTTGTTGGTGTAGATATGTGGGCAGAGTTGGCATCGAGGTTTGTTGCATGGATTGGTTCCTGAGTTAGAGTTGTTATGGTGCGGTGTGTGGTTGCTGGTGAGAATATGCTTAAGGTTGGCAGGTTGTCTGTGGGCGAGGACTGGCCTGCCTCCCAAAGTCTGTGAAAAAGAGGGATTGTTGTCCAGGATGGGTTGTAGATCATTGATGATGCGTTGGAGAGATTTAAGCTGAGGACTGTAGGTGATGGCCAGTGGAGTTGTGTTGGTTTCTTTCTTGGGCTTGTCTTGTAGCAGGAGGCTTCTGGGTACACATCTGGCTCTGTTGATTTGTTTCCTTATTTCCTTGGGCGGGTATCGTAGTTTTGAGAATGTTTGGTGAAGATCTTGTAGGTGTTGGTTTCTGTCTGAGGGGTTGGAGCAGATGTGATTGTACCTCAGTGCTTGGCTGTAGACTATGGATCATGTAGTGTGTCCGGGGTGGAAGCTGGAGGCATGAAGGTAGGCATAGCGGTCCGTGGGTTTTCGGTATAGGGTGGTGTTAACGTGGCTATCACTATTTGTACTGCAAATTTGACACCATCAGATCAGGATTAAACAAAGACTGTGAATGGCTATCCAACTACAGAAGCAGTGTCTCCTCCCATGGTGTTCACACTTCAACTGCTAGCAGAGCTCCTCACCCTCCCTGATTGAACTAACCTCGTTATCTCCAGACTGATTCTTGCCAGCATATTTATACCTGCCCCTGGAAATTTCCATTACATGCATCCGACGAAGTGGGCATTCACCCACGAAAGCTTATGCTCCAATACATCTGTTAGTCTTAAAGGTGCCACAGGACTCTGTTACTTCACAGAAAGCCAAACCTGTGCAGATAAGAAATACACCGTTAAGGCACCTCCACAACCTTCACTCTGCCCTGCAGTGATATCAGGAGGGGAAAATAATATGCAAAAAAATCCCCTCAGGTGTCAGTTTAATGTAATCTGGGCCCACAAATGATAAAATGTCAATCCTAATCATGTGGCTGTTGCCCAGTGTCATTACAAACAGAATTCCCCATTCACACCAGGCTGTATCCGCTTTGCACCGGTGTATAGAGTGACACAAGATACAGGGCACTGGAAAATCAGGGCCGCTCTAGACTGACCTGGGTCGGGGCTTGCACTACGCTACTTGCCAAATACTTGGACCGCTGCCGATGAGCCTCAGCAAATCCCATTGAAATAGTTTTGCTGGCTGAGTTTAGGCTCACTGGACTTACCCTGCACTTGTGAAGTCAGGAACACCTGCGTGAGCAGGTGTAAAACACCATCTCAGCGTTTTGTAATCACCTTGCAGAGGATTTACCAGGGCGCAAGGCAGAGGTAACGGCGAAGTTCTGCCATGTGAGATGGTTGGGTACAAGCCATTCTGTCGTTTGCGTCTCACCTTGTCATTCGGCTGCTTACTCCAGGGCTTGCGCGGCTCACTAAGGAAACATGGAACAATCTCACCAACCTGAGCCGGAGCAATTCCAGACTGCCCAGGAGAGAGTCTGCGCTTGGGGCAGCAGGGCCTGGGGCAACAAGCTGTTGCTCTGTGGTGAATTCGACCCCAAATGACCCTCAAGAGCTTGAGAAAACAGAGTTCATTTAGGGTGTGCCAGAGCCCAACGTGCAAAGCAGTCTCCGGCCCTGCCCCTTCTAAGAGCTAAATGACGTCCTCCAGGAGACCTGAAGCACTAGCTAGTGGGGTTCACTGTGATCCCATCACTGCCCCAATGACATCACCGTGACATCACAATGTCCTGATGTGTCACTGTGATGACATCACTGCCTTTATGACATCACCAGGATGACACAATGGGCTGGTTCATCACGGTGATTACGTTACAGGACAGCACTGGGACAGCGAGGCTGCCCCCAAACCCCAACCTGGCCCCTGCCCTGGGGGAGCCACCTTACCCTACCTCCCCCCCCCCCCCAGGGCCCTGAGCCCCAGCCCCTGTGAGGGAACGACTGCTGAGCCACTGAATTAAATAGCCCTGGGAAGGTACCATTCCCCTGGAAAGGGGGAGGGGAAAATGTGCCTCCCCCCAAAAAATGTCCAGGTTTACTTAAAAATCACCCTAGGCACACGGTGTAAACATCCTGGGTAAATAATAAAATAATACCAATAATAATTTCAGTTCGCTGATCAGTCCTGGCCAACTGCTCCTATCCCCCCCACCAATGCAATGGTTCACTCCAGCAGGTTGACACTTGGGCACTCACTCCTAGGAAGGAACCATTTCACTGGCGGGGGGCAGCGGGGGGGGGGACTGGAGGGAATAAAACTCCCGAGGTCATTTCCCGGAGAGAAAATAAAGCACGGACCGTTTCCTCAGAGCCTCTGGTGTGGTTATTTCTCTGATCAGGGCCGGTAGTAAAGGCTGTAGGTTTGCGCACCCCCCATCCAGGCTGAGAATGGTACATCCCGGCCCCAAGTGGCAGTTGGTTGTTTACCAGCTTCTGCTCCCCTCAGATGGGGCGGGGGGAGGGGCGGCTGTGGGGCTGGGCCTGGGCCCCCTGGGGGCGGGGCGGATGTGGGGGGCTGGACCCTCCCCTGGGGGTGGGGCGGATGTGGGGGGGCTGGACCCTCGCCTGGGGGCGGGGCGGGGTGGATGTGGGGGCTGGGCCTGGGCCCCTGGGGGTGGGGCGGGGTGGATGTGGGGGGGCTGGACCCTCGCCTGGGGGTGGGGCGGGGTGGATGTGGGGGGGGCTGGGCCTGGGCCGGCCTCGCCTAGGGACATGGGATGGATGGATGCCGTGGGGCGGGGTGGACAGGTGCTGGCCCCTGGGCCGGCCTTGCTGGGGACAGGGTGTGGAGAGAGACGTGAGATAAAGGGGCTGGGGCGCTGGTTTCCATCCCATAACAATATACATTCATCTGTCTACCACTGATAAATCATTTATTGAGACAGAAAGGAGCCGACCCCAGGGTGACACCCACATGCCCCCGGCTGCCTGCTATCCCCATGCAGGAGTAGCCTTGGCCTTCCCTTAGATGGACTGCCTGCCCTGGTATGGCACCGCGGCCCAGCCCAGTGGCCACGGGGCAATCCGGGTTTGATACTAGTCAATAATAGGGAGGTAGCTTTGGGTTTCATGAGTAAACGGCGTTGAGGCGGGAACAGTCTATAATTTAATGGCTACAAATGACTCTGCAAAGGGGGGGGTGTGGGGTGTGCCTCCGCCTGGCCTGGCTCTCCTGCAGGCTGCCCCGGGCTCAGTGGTGGCTCGCGATGTGCTGCAGGTAGGGCTGGAGCCTGTTCGGCGTGTGGTGGAGCGTGCTCTTGATGTGAGCTCTCTCCCCGCTCCTCTCAATCAGCCAGTCATCACCGCCCAGCCATGTGCTGGCACTGGGCAGCTGTGGCTCGGGGTCGGGCAGCTCCGGCTGGGCTCTCTGCGGGCAAGAGAAGGGCATGAGAAATAGAGGCTTGAGAGGGACACCAGGCCAAAAAACTGACCTTGCTACTGAGACTGGAGAGCAAGGTGGCTGCTTGGGGCTCCGGCCTTGTCTAAATAGGGCATTCCAGCTTCTGGTGTAGCTGCACTAAACCCCTAGATCCTCAGAGCTCCAGAGCTCCATTGACCGATACAGCTTTGCCTGTTCACACATGCTGAGGATTTGGACGCTAACACAGCCAGGCAAACCCCAAGGTAGACAAGCCCATTGTCTCAGGGACAGGGCAGCCCAGAGTTCTCTGACTCAGCTGTTTCCCAGGGTCGGAATAGTTTCTTTTCACACGAGGCCATATAGCACCCAACAGCCCCATTTGAATGAACATTAATTAGCATCTGTATCTCCAGTAGGGACAAGGAAAGCTTTGGCCAGGCCACCAATCAGGACAAAGAGGAGGGAAGGAGGTAGTCCCTGATCAGCCAGACAAGACTCTCAAGAGCGTGTCATCTGCGGGGTAAGCTTCGAAATAACATTTTGGGTTAAATGAAGCTTTTCCCAGCCTCCCTGTTGTTGTCGCATCTCTAGCTATGGTTCAGCTGTCCTTAAATACTAATAATGAACAACCCAACTGACATCAGAAACTGCAGGGGCACTGTGCGAGTGCAGAGGTAACCACAGCATGGAAGATGGGTTTTCTACAACATGACTCGTGGCCACTGTCTTTTTTGATAGGGAAGCAGATCTTTGGCTGATGGGACCAGTCGTATCCATCAAAGATCAGGCAGGGAGGCTGCAATTGGTTTTGTACGCAAACAGCCAATCAATCAATCAATCAATCAATAATAATCATACATTAGCCGCAGAGCCTGGCGTGCTGATGAGTTACCATCACAGTCCGTCTCTGGGCAGAGTTTGGGCAATCCTGGTTTAAGGTGCAGCAGCTTAGACATGAACAGTCTTAGACCCTGATCCTGCAACCAAGTCCAAACAGGTTGACACCAACCTAGTTGAGTCAGAGGGGCTCCATGCAGGCACAAGGCTCTGCCAATGCTAATTCCATTGCAGGATCCAGGTTTTATTTGGCCCTGATCCTGCAAAGACACTTGTGCTTAGCCTCACGTACGGGAGGGGTCCCATTAAAGCATAAAGTGAAGCGTGTGCCCAAGTCTTTGCAGAACTGGGCCCTTAGATTGTAAGTCCATTGGGCAGGGACCTTTCTTCAGTGTCTTTTCTGTGTTAAGTGCAGGGCACTTGTGGGCATTGTAGAATAAATAATATTAACAATCATGGGGTCCTGAGCTCGGTTGAGGGCCCTAGACACTACCACAGTGCACATCACAAATAATAAGACTTCTGTTTTAGGGCAGAAGCCAAGGCTTAAATACCCCTATGCTTTAGAAGTACACCGTGTCTCCAGAACTGATTGCTCCGCCTGCTAGCCTCAGTCTGACCCAAAGCAATCACTGAACATGCCCTCACCCCAAAACTCCCATCAAAACTAACCAGCTTTCTGAGGAACTTCTGCCCTCAACCCTCCTGGGAATGTCTGATCTTTGGTTGCACACAGAATTGGGTTGAGGTTGAGTTTGTCTGCCTGTTGGCCTGTCAGACCATCAGCACAGATCTGCCTTCCTCTTCGAGTAGGTGCAATGCCTAACACAATGGGCCTTCAGTCTATGTTGACACTTCTTGGCACTATGTGATGATAATAATTAATAATTGGGATGGTATCTAAACAATGAATAAGAAGAATGAGATATCTACTGGCAGCTAGGTGATCGGTGTAGATAGATAGATAGATAGAAGGGGTGGATGGGGTTAGATAGATAGAGGGGGTGTATGGGATTAGTTAGATGGATGGAGGGGGTGTATGGGGTTAGTTAGATGGATAGAGGGGGTGGATGGGGTTAGATAGATAGATGAGGTTTATATGGGGTTGGATAGATAGATAGAGGGAGTGTATGGGGATAGATAGATAGATAGATAGATAGATAGATAGATAGAGGGGGTGTATGGGGATAGATAGATAGATAGATAGATAGATAGAGGGGTGTAGTGGGGATAGATAGA